TAGTTTGGCAGGAGTTGGGTAACATTTCCTTATGATTCTCCCAAGATAAACACTTTATTAACAGGTATTTGCATATTACACTTTGCAGACTTATGAGAATTTAGTTATGCATCTACTGAATGGCTTTACTGCAGAAACTGAGTGTAGCCAGACACAAAACCCCATCTTGTTTTTCCACGAGCCCCATCTTGTTTCCCCCCCCCCCCCAGAGAGCAAGAGAAAGGCAGTCAGCCTTTGATGCCCTGGGAACACAGGTTTGCTGCCTGTCCCTGACTCTACACCCGGGGCCTCCCGTCGCCCTGATGGCTAGTACCAGTAATTGACACGCCTGCACTGTCCCAGGAGAGGAATCTTCGCCCATCACATACCAGAGGTGCCCATTGTCTGCATTTTCCCAGGTGTAAATTATGCTTTGCACCCTTCGTGGGAAACTTGGCATTCAAAGCCATTTTTCCTAAATGGCCACTTGAGCCCAGGAAGAAGCCTACATGACCCAAGGGGTATAAAAAGAGGTTCAGCCGCCCACCCCATTTGAGCTCCAATCATCTATACCTGCTGGCAGGTATTGATTGTCTCCCGAGGTCTGTGGGACGCCCAACCTCGCCCTACTTCTTCCCGAGGGATTGAGAGAAAGACGCTGGCCACGCCAAGTCTGGAACGCAGGGGTGAGAATATATACCTGCTATGTGTCTATTTTGCATGCATTTAATAAGAGCTCAGAGAACCAAAGGGTTTCATGGTACCTGTAAGTGACTTATTAGTGTAATTTCTGTCCTGTCCTTTGTAGTGTCTGTGTTATCTGTAACACAGTAGTAGCATTTAACAGCTAAGTTTACCCTGTAACAATAAAATAGTAACTGTTTAAGCTTTAACCTGACTCCTTCAGTTGCTGTAACAGAACCAAGCACAATTTAAAAGAACTTCAGCCGGTCATAAGGGACTCACTGCCCTGACCGTCGGCTGACACTGAGGAAGATGGGTGGGGAGGTATATTGCTGCTTTTGACAGCTTAAGTGCAATTGTATATTGAGAAATTAATGCACCTTTTTAGTCAGTGCAATTCTCTGGGTGTGAATTCAGCACATGAGACTTAAGTGCACAGGAAGACTATAATAGTATTATAGCTGCAGAGCAAACACAATTCCACAAGGGAGTTGGATAGTGGCTTCGGTACTGGGGACACCACAGTTCACCTGCGGAGGCACCCTAAATTCCTGCAGGCTCAGTTTCTCTTCGTCATTGGCTTCAGTGCCCCTGCTACTGAGTGAGGAGGAGGACGACGGCGGCAGCAGCAGCTCTCTATACAAGAGTACCCAAGAACTTCGTCGCCTAAACCACTACAAGGTCAGTAGTGGCAACAACCACAATGGCTCCCACTACCCAACTGGCCATACTGGGACCCATGTGCAGCCTACAGATTCCTACAGCCCCAGATATCTTGGGGTACCAGACTCAGGAGCTCCCCAAAGTCTCCCCTGAGCACTTCACCTGGTCGGAGGAAGAAGAGGAAATGGATGTCACAGGGGCAGAAGGAACATTGGACTCAATACCAAACAAGCACCTTCCATCTTTGCCACCTGAGGACACAATCATGCCCCTACCAACCATTGTAGGGATGGTTTTAAGTCTTTCCAAGAGCTCTTTAAGAGGGTGGCAATAGCTCTGGACAGTCTGCTCTCCGCTATGCCCAAGATCCAGCACAAACTCACGATCATCTTACACACCTTGTCACAAACTAAGCTAGCCATCCCCATGAATGAAGCACTGATGGACCCAGTCAAGGCCCTGTGGCAGACACCAGCATTCCACCAGCTGGCAAAAGATCCAATCGAAAATACTACGTAGCCCCAACAGATGTGGGATTCTTGTTTTCGCACCCTTCACCAAATTCCTTAGTGGTCAAAGCTGCTAACCAAAGCAGATGATCTGCACAGGCCCACATGACAAGGAATGGAAGCACCTGGATGCATTGGGCAGAAAGGCCTACTCATCTACTAGCCTTCAAATCAGGATTGGAAACAAGTTTGCCAAGCACACACCATATATTTGATCAACTGTTGACTTTTATTACAGAGCTTCCTGACAATGAAAAGGAACAGCACAGTGCGAACATGAAGGAAGGGGCGTTGCTTGCCAGAACAGACCTGCAGGCATCGGCAGTAGTCATGAGGTGGGCGTGGTGGCTCCAATTGTCAGGCTTCCCAAGGGATGTGCAATCAACAGTTGAAGATCTACCGTCAGAGGGAATGAAGCTATTTGCCGAGTCCACCAACGCTTCCCTGCACACACTGAGGGACTCCAGAGCCACTCTGAGGACATTAGGCATACAGGTACTATCAAACAAAAAGAAACAGGGAAAACCTTTTGTGCAGTGCTATAGACCAGTCCCGTTGAATCAGCAACCAAAGCATTACGACAATAGGCGACGGCCTGGACAGAAGAGACGCAGGCTGGCCTCTACCCAGGCAACCGCACAACAGCCTTCAACATCCTGAAAAGCATTTTGAAGGTCTAGCTGAGGGTCAGACAGCACTGAGTTCTCCAAGGCAGCAATACAAACATTATACATGATTTAGCAGCAGACTGGCTGCATTCTATCCAGCATGGCAGAACATCACCACAGACAAATGGGTGTTGGAGATCATTGAAAATGTTTATTGCCTCCTGTTTACTTCCATACCACATCACCAACAATCTCTGCCCCTCCCACCCACCCCGTCCCCTCTTCAGGGACCCCTCTCACGAACTTGTGCTGGCGCAGGAGGCACAGCACCTCTTACAACTGAGGGCTATAGAAGAGGTTCTATCAAAGCACAGGGGAAGGGTTTCTACTCCCACTACTTCCTGACCACCAAGAAGTCGGGGGGTGGAGACCGATATTAGATTTCCGAAAACCAAACCGATTTATTACCAACGATTCAAAATGATAACTTTAGCTACCATTATTCCTGCCTTGGAAAAGGGGGATTGGCTGGCTCTCCATGTCCTCCTCCAAGATGCGTACTTTCATATCACAATACACCCATCCCAAAACGATTCCTGAGGTTCACTGTAAAAGACAGGCACTTTCAATATGAAGTGCTACCATTCGGGCTCTCAGCAGCACCACAAGTCTTCTTAAGAAGAATGGGTGTCACCATTTTCCCATACCTAGACAACTGTGTAATAAGGGGAGCCACGGCGCATGACATAGAGCAGGCAGTTGCTACCACCAGAGCACTGTTCGACTCTCTGGGCCTACAGATCAATTTGGAGAAGTGTATCCAAACTTGAACTCCAGTTACTACACAGAGTGAGTAACCTTCTCTTTCTGCAGGAAATCATCAATATGGACTCAGTGCAACGAGGAGCAGCATCAGTTGTAGGTGGCTGCACCCTCTAGCAGTCTGCTAGGCTTTCAACCTTACTTTGTAAATAGTCTTGCTGTGAAGAGTAGGGATGTTGGAGTTAACCAGTGAACTGGTTAACCAATAAGCTGATGCTTACCTGTTAATGTTACTTGCATGGGGAGCTGGCTACCCTTCCCCGCACCTCCACCCCTTCCCAGCACACACACACAGTCCTGGCAGCTGGCTCCACTCTCTGCCTGCCCTGCTGTGGCTCTGCGTTTGAATTTAGAGCCACCAGGTATGCCAGAACTGAGCCTGCCTGCCAGATCCAAGTTCAGATGCAGAGCCCATAGTAGGCTGTAGTACATCCCTGGGCTAAACTAATGGTTAACCATGTAACTGATAGGATACTTAAGGGTTTTAGTTTATTTTCAACATACCTAGTGCAGAGCTGTTTGGATACCCCTTCTAAGTATTAAAATGTGCATGTGTTGCTGATATTTAGTAGTAAGCTTAGAGAGTTCTCTGTAGCTCATGCTTGAAAAGCTTTGGTTAGGTCCAAGGTGGGTAGCCTGGGTTTGCTGGTAGAGTCTCTGCTGGGTGCCCAAAAATAGCAACTACATTGTGGCTAGTGCTGCCCACGAATGCTATGGATATTTGTGCAGATCTGGACCAGGGTGGTCTAAACAGAGTAGGTACTAGGTAAAACTAACTGATCACTTGATGTTGGCTGTATGAATTAGATCATTGGTCCCCAGCGTGGTGCCCGTGGGCGCCATGGTGCCCACCGGGGCATTTGTGCGTGCCCACTGACAACCTGGGCCGGCCCCGGCGCGCGCCGGATGCAAGGCGCTCAGGTGGCCTCAGCCCCAGGGCACATGCGGGCGCGC